AAGTTCGATTTCCCTCCTTTCCATTTCTCATATGAAATAGATTGTGTCCCAAACAATGAAAATTGGTTTATTTCTAAAAATACAAGACTTTTTGTTGTTCCCTTTTGTAGTAGGGATAGTTTTTCAACACAAGGTTTGTGGTAAACAGGCACTTACAAATAATGCATCCATCATTTCTTTCAATTTCGGTTTTTCATTAGATTGTGGTGAATAGGGAATCAATTTGATGGATAATTCTGCTTTTCGAACATATTCTGCGAAATGAGATTTATACTCTCCATCCTATCATTTCTATCTTTTCCCGACTAATTTTCAACTTCAATATTATATTATCTAGACGTTTATATTGCTTCATCCTCGCCATTTAGCAAATAGATATAGTCGTTTCTAATGCAATTGTGAATAAAAGTAACGAGATACTTTATCCCACCATGAAATGGTGTTGACTTCATATCATAAATGTCAGTGTAAATAAATTCTAAAGGATTATAATTCCCTTCAACCGACTTATAAGAATGATCTGCATACTTAGATTCCACACAAACTTGACATTTGCACTCAAAGTTAGACAAAACTTTTATGTTAATCAGTTTTCCTTACAAGGTTTTGTAATTGACAAGCCCCAAGTGTTCATGTCACAAACATTGACTCAAGAAAGTAAGAACAAATAAAAATATTGAGTCTGAAGCTCTTCGTGAGGTAGCTTTTTCCTCACTAATATTTTGTTCTTATTTTTTACAATTTTATGTGATACAAACATTGTTTAGAGTCAACTTGTTGTCAAATGTACTTTTCATAAGGACCTTTCCATAACTTTCAATTTGATTGTTATAGAACTACCCATGAACAAAATTTCATTGGGTCCAATAAAGGCAAAATAATACAAATGCTTCTTTAACAAAACATGGCAAATAACTATTCACCAATATTCATGTCTATACAAATAGTTATATTTAGTAGACATATCTTTTCACAAAAAATCACATAACTTCAAGTGACACTTTTTCATAAAAGAACACAATCATTTTGAACAAGTATACATATAATTTGGTAGTTTCATACTAGTCATACCATATACTAGTAAACAATAAACTCAACACCCAAAATATAAAACGTACACTAAGAATTTTGTGGGACTAACAGAATACAAAAGTATCGTTGAATTTCATATCTTTTGGTCCAAAGATAAATTATACATGAAGTCTAATTTTATTTTTATCATAAGCAAAGAACCCCCACATTTTAAATGTGTGATCTCAAAAATATTTTTCAAGCATTTGAATATAGTTTTTCCACACATTTTCCCTGACTATCAAAATTTCATTGGCAGTATAAAAACCTCTTTTGAAAATATTATTCTACGAAAGAATAATAGAGTTTCAATTCTCTTTGATAATCTTTACATAGTGTAAAAATTCATTCGACAAACTCACAAACTCTAAGTCGCTGATTTTTTTCCATCTATCACACACAGATATACCACTTAGTATTTAGAATGTTTTTATATAACAGTGAAATTTGTAGAAGTTAAATTTATTCAGAGTAGAATACTACAAAAGTTTTTAATCCAGAACAATCAGAATAATAAATTCAGAAGGGGTACAAAACAACAAAATTTTTTAGTCTCCAAACGAAATTAACATATTCTTTATCACATAGAAAGGATTTTCTTATCAAATATCATTCCAACTATAACATTTTGACGTTTTATTTTATCAAATAAAATTGTGCAACTCTCATTTTGCAAACTAAAGAATTTAAAAGGCAACACTATTTGTCAAGCAAAATTCATTCCACAACATATGGTCTGCAAATCTTTTTCCAAAGATACACATGATAAAAAATCAAAGTTGTTAACTCTTAGAATCTATTTTCCGACTTAGATAAATATTTAGAAGGTCACCTTGTGTAATCTTTAACTGGAATACGATAAATGTTTTCTGTTATATTCTCACTTTGACCTTGCTAAACAAAGCAATGAATTATGAAGAATTAATACATTTATCTTTTACTTTTATAATCAGATTCCCAGAATAAGTAGAATACAAATATACTAACAGTATAATAATTTTCTTAAGATTGTTGTTTATTTTGTATTCCTAAGATACTTAGAACAAAATTTTGAATAACTGGGTAAGGCACAACAAAGTTTAAAAACATTTTCAGAACTAGAAAATTAAAAATAGTAAAGTAACTAGAATCAGAAACAGATTAGAAAAAAATATACGAAATATTTTTCAAAAAGAAGAATTGTTGTCAATCTATGTTTAAAGAATCTTAATGATTCCAATAAACTTCGCAAAAACATGAAGTTACCAAAGTTCAACGAACAAGTGTTGACAGAAGAACATAAATTAATTCACAAATCTAAATTTTTTTAACATATACCAAAATCTTGAAAAACAAAAAGAAAATGAAGCCCACTGAATGCACAATATCCCCTTAAGGAAATTATTCCCCTCTAGTATTCGAGGTTTGATTTGGAATATGGCTACCAAGAATAGAATGATCTCAATCACCAATGTATTGATACCCAAAATGCTGGTGTCAGCGAGCCACTCAACAGGAGTAAAGTACTTTTAGAATACTAGATTTAGCAGTACTAGAACACGTCCAGAAAAATTCTTTCTTTAAAATGAGAGGAAATCCCCCAATATATAGAAAACAAAGGTAGTGCGAAAAAGTTCTTATTGTACCTTAACAGAGAGGTCACAAACCTTTGGAAAATTCAAAATCTTTTGGAAAGGTCGTCACCTTTCATGAGATTCACAACTTTTCATAAATCTAACAGCTTTTAATAAAAGTCGTAACTTTTCTTAAAAGTAACAATTTTTTCATAAAAGTCACAACTATTCATTTCCATTCAAACCTTTTAAAACCCAAAAGTTTTGTCAAAATATTTTTTTGAAACAGTATGGTCCGCAACGCAGAGAGAAAAATTTCATTTCTAAGGAACAGATCTGCATACATTTTTCTACCCGACTTTTTCTCCTCATTTTCCAACCTTAATTCTCCTAGATTTGATCATTTTACTCAATTTCGCTTTAGATTCAGATACCAAACACATGTACACAAGAATATACTCATAAACGACTCAAAAATTGACAAAATTTCCTCAAGAACTCAATAACTCCATCCTAATCCAAGAATGAAAACCGATTTCAAGAACCCAATTAAAGATCAACAAACTTTCAACTTTCTAAAATGAATTTTAATGAAGTAACATAATGTGTGGGTGGTTGAACAAAACCAACAGTGTGGAAGCTTACCTACCTAAAAGAACCATCTTATTGAAGAACTTAAAAGATAATATTGGAAAAAGAACCCTAGCCTTAGTGTTTCTTGAATTCCGTGGGCGTAGAATTTTGGAGTTGATGAGAGGGTTTGATTTATGAAAAGTGATTTTTCTACATGCTAAGGGAAATTTACATGACATCCTAAGGGTTTTTAGGACTAAAATACCCGTGAAGAAATAAAATGAGTTGGGCGTCGAAACAATTTTTCAATTGACAGAGGTCCCTATTGGTTGCATAACATGGAGCCATCGTGGAGCTGATGTCACGTTTGAGCATCATTAGTAAATCAATCATAACTTTACGAAGAGCACGAAATTTAGCAACTTAGTGGCGTTGTAAAGATAGTTTAAAGAACTTCCATTATCTATGTGTTACCCCCCTAACTCATTTTGTAATAAGAGTTTTGGTCGTTTGAAAATGACCCAAAACTCCTAACTTAACTATAATTTGCAAAATTTCTGATTTTACTATTTCCAAATAATTCTATTTGGAACTCAAGGTGCTACATCTATTGATCTTAACACTTATGAAATTTTAAATTTCTCAGTAAAATCTTGCTCACAACAAAGTATAGTACGAGTCTTAGCTCAAAATTTTTTGGGGTGGTACATGAGCTATTGTTTGTCTGTTGGTTTTGCATACTTGAGTTTTCTATATAGTTATATGATATCATTGGGAACTTTTTCCTAACAGATAAGTTGTAGTATTTGTAGAGACTTGTGGATAAACTTTGGTAATCTTCTACCGTTTCATTTATATCCTTCTCGACTTATTGTATTTTTTATTTTAGTTGCAACATTGTCGGTTTGCTAGTTCTTATTAGTTAAGTTAATTTTGTTGATCTTTTCATTATCTTTAATTTTGTTGTGACCTTTCCGGTCCCATTGTCTTGTTTTAGCAGGTTATTGTAGCGGCTTTTTTGGCCCTCATTGTTTTATATCCTTCATGTTTTAGTTGGTTCGCTTGGCCAAGTGAGCTAACGGGTGCCTATTGAGCATACCCTAAGTTGGGGCGTGATAGAAATAAACAAGGTGCTATACATGGATGGTAATCCTCTAGTAGATTATACTCAACAATTCCATATTAAACTTAATGCCTTGAAATCTTACCTTGTTAACAATGCCAAATAATTTGTCCAAGTATCCTTTCATTGTCTCGAAAAACTGTTTCATTTTCTGCAACTTGATTTTTTCAACCTCCAGTATATTCTTTCTTTAGATAATTCCAAATTTCTTTAGCAGATTAGAGAAACATAAATACTATGAAAATAGTGGTTTAAACAACAACAAACAAAGTTATTGTTGCCGGGACTTTAGGGTTCTCATATTCTTCTCACTATTAATTTGTTCTATGGTGAGATTCACCATTGAAAACAAGAAGAGTCATTTATGAAAACTATTTTCGAAATTCAAATCTTCAGTGACAAGCCCTCAAGAAAATGACTTCAGATCCCAATTGTTGGTTTTTTGAAGAAAAGAAATGCTTGAAAACAACACAAGAAGGAAAGTTCAAGAATACAATTTTATTGCACTAGACAATGCCATACTAATGAGTATTGACTAAAAAAACATGTATTCAATGACTAAAAATCTAACTAAAAAAATAGATAACCATGTCCTATATTTTAGATTCCATCTACTATATAACAAACAATAGAAATCGAGAATGTCATACTATTGAGTATTTACTAACAAAAGACATGTATTTAAAGACTAAAAATGTAATTGACTAATAGATAATGAAGTCATATATATCAGATTCCATCAACTTCAGAAGAAACAATATTAATCAGGTCTAACTTGATAAAATTAATGTATATGAAGATCTTTTTTTTTAAAACCGAATATTCAACATATATAAAGAAAATTCTAAGATCTTCAATTCTGAACTTCATTTGTATAGCTCTTAAGGTTGCACATTATTGTGTTGAAGCCAATTTGAGAAAGCTTGAAGTGTGTTTGTATCAGCTGGGTGATGCTTCTGTGTAAACTCAAGGAGGGTAGGCCATGTGAAGTCAGGATAAATTCGAGGTTTATTGAAGTCCACCAATTCGGTTGGTGGTCTCACCACCTTATCTTTGTCTGGACAAAGAAAGAAAACTAGTGATTTCCTAGGAATATAGTTGTTTACCACTGCTCTATGCAAGCAACTTTTGAATATTCCATTTGATAGCGCCTACAAAAAGGAAAACACCAAATATGTTTTAACACCACTTGATCAATTATACGAAAGACATTATATTCATGTTGTACATAATTCCGAAGCCCTTATCATGTATACCATTCTACATCATGTGAAAAGATCCTATATTATTTGTGTTATCAATATGTATTTTTTGTCTAATTATCTCTGTTTTTATGACTTAAATGGAGTACATAAGCTTATTATATAGTTCTATTGTGTAATTTTTCTTACCATAAATGTGTCGCCTATGTTAACCACAAAAGCATTGTAATTTGGATTGATTGAATGCCATTCATTATCCACAAAAACTTGAAGTCCACTAACACCATCTTGATGGAGAATGGTTAATGATGTTGGATCATAATGAGGCCATGTTCCTAATGTGAGCTCTGGATTATGACATGGTGGATAGTAGTTGATTCTCATTATGGATTCATTATCTTCGAAAAAATCTTTGAAGTTTTCCTTCTGTACTCCTAGACTCATCCCTAAGAGCTCCATGATCCTTAGAGAAAGTTTGCTCATCGAATTGCAATATTCTTGATAAACCTTCCTATGTAATTGAAAGGGAAAAAGTTAATTTGTTTACATAATCGAAAAAATAGAAAAATAGATATTCCATTTATTTCAATTTGTACTAGAATACCCAATTTTGTTGTTTTAAACATGTAATGAAAATTTTAAATTATAGAGTTACAAAAACGAAGAAGAAAAAAGTACTAATTTTTGGAAACCGACTAAAAAGAAAAGTAATACTCCCTCCATTCCTTTTTTAGTTGTCATACAGATTAAAAATACTTGTTCCAAAATAGTTGCAATTTAAAATATAAAGAATGAATTAATGATCTCTTTCCAACTTTGCCTTTAACATTAATTCTTCTAGCATTAAGAGAAAAAAAATAAAACAAATAATAAGCGATACATGGTTTAATAACAATCCTTATTAGTTTTTTCTTAAGGGTTGTGTCAAACCTTATCATGACAACTTAAAAGAATAGAGGGAATATAAGAAGTCAATTGTCCTTACCCAAGATTGTTAAAACTTTTTCCCATTGTCTTTTGGAAATACTCTTCAACTATATGCGATGAGTGTTCTTTAGCAGAGTATTGAAAAGAGAGTGTCTCTTTCCAAGGCAACTTTGACAAAAATGTTCCAGTAAAGCTGCTGGCATAGCCACAATGTTCACCAATTTTTCTCTCAGCTTTTAACTTTTCAGAGAGAGGCAAGCTAAAGAACATGTCCATGTTTCGATGGGCATTAGAGATGAGATTTTCATCAACTCCGTGGTTCACCACAAGGAAGAAACCGTGACTCTTGCAGGCTTCACCAACAAGCCTAGATGCTTCTTGCATTGTGGTAGGGTCACCAGAAAAGAAACCCCCTAAGTCAATAAGGGGAGCATGAAGCTCTTGTGGTATTGCACAATCCTTCTTGCCGTGTTTCATTTGGGATGCATCAAAAATTAATGAATTTTTCTCATCTACCATAGACGATTTATCATTTGTGATTATACTATCTATATCCATTGAATGGTAGAATTTGGTTTTATTCTCTTGTGCAATGAGTCACAAGTGAAAATGAAGTAGTGAGAGTGAATTGTAAGGAGCCAAAGTGAAGCATTATATAGGGTGTAATGATGCTTACATGGGTAGAAGTCCACATGTTGTTTGATTTTTCTATTGTTTTTCAAAGAGTTTTTACTGTATTAAAGATATGTTTGACCATATATATTGAAAAGAATTATTAATAAGGATATTTTTGATCATATATTTATAAAATATATTACTAAATTAATGATATGTTTGACGATATATTATGTAAATTTATTATTGTATTAAAGATATGATTGACAAAATATTTAGAAAATTTATTATTTAAGATACATTTGACCATTAATTTAGAAAATTTATTGCTATATTAAAGATACAATTGACTAAATTTTGAAAATTTATATGTTTGACCATAGATTTATAATTTTTTATACTGTACTAAAGATATATTTGACCAAATATTTTAAAATTTTATTGTTAAAGACATCTTTGACCAGAAATTTATAAGTATATTATTGTATTAAAGATATGTTCGACCATAATTATTATTATCAAAGATAAGCTAAACATACACTTCGCAATTTGCTTAAAAGGGCTTAATAATGTTTTAAATTGGGGCATAGGTCTATTATAGAATGTACATAGGCATCTATCCATAGTATCCATAGAACAATTATAAATAGAGATATTTAAATATTTTTTCTAATTTAGTTTCTGTAGATAGATATCCTTATACATCTACAAATAACTCTTATTCTTAAGGAAATAGATGCATTGACTCTACATTTTGCGTGGTACCCTCTCTATCTACAATACTTGTCAATCATTAACTTTGCAGACTTGTTAATAAACTATAAATAGAGGGTTAATTTTACTATATTACCCTTTGAATATTATAAATATAAAATCTTGAAAAATGTAAAAAAGAAATGAATTTAATAATGACAAGGGTAAATTATGAACTAAGGGTGTGTTTGGTATGAAGGAAAATGTTTCACTGGAAAACAAGTAGATTTATGACTTATTTTCTCATGTTTGGTTGGTGAGTAAAAAGTATTTTTAGGAAATAATTTTTAGTGTATGATTTATGAATGAAAAATATTTTTGAGAAATATCTTTTATTTTTACTAGAGTAGAAAATAATTTTGAAATTGAAAATATACTTTTTTAAAAAAATATTTTTTTTGTGGGGGGTAGGGGGAGGGTGAAAAAATAAAAATTTTAAGTTGAAAGTATTTTTCAAAATAAAATTATTTTTTTTGGTGGGGGTGGAGGGCTGGAGGGCTGGCGGTGTAGGGGTGAAAAAACAAAAAAATTCAAGTTGAAAATATTTTTTAAAAACAAACTTAAAATTTATTTTTGGAGGTGGGTTGTATGGGGAGGTCGAGGGTAGGGGTAAAAAAATTAAAATTTGAAGTCGAAAATATTTTTTAAAAATAAACTTAATTGTTTTTAAAAAAAAATATAATTTGAAGTTGGATGAGAGTTTTGGAAAATGTTTTCCTTAACTTTTGAAGGAAAATCATTTACTTAATTTTGCGGAAAATGACTTTGATTTGAAAATATTTTCCAAAACTTTTGTCCCAACCAAAAATGAGAAAATTGGAAAACATTTTCAAGAAAATGTTTTCCTTCATACCAAATACACCCTAAGTTTAAAATTATCAATTGATTTCATAAAGTGGATATATATTGTTAGACATCTCAAAATAATATAGTGGAAAACTATAGTGAACAAATGGTGTATTGATATACCGTAGTTTCACGGTATAATTAATACTTTTTCCTTTAGTTTAGTGTGTCCGAAAGTCTTTTTGTGCTAGTTTTTATATGAGTTTCTCTTTGTTTTGCAGGAAATCTAATGTAACGACCTGTTTAGTCGTTTTGAGCAACAGATGTTATTTCTGGAAAACTGGCAGAGACGACGGACCCCACGACGGACCGTCGAGGGAGTCTCGTTTCAAAACACTTAGAAATTCTGAAATTTGGGTACTGAAATCGACTCTCTGAACTTCGTAACGGAATGGCAGGACGGACCGTCGTGGATACGACGGACCGTCACAGATTCTTCATTAAATTTCAGTCTCTGAACTCTGTGACGGAGCAGCAGGATGGACCGTCGCAGGCACGACGGGCCGTCACAGGCTGCGTAATCCCAGTCTGAGTCGGATTTCCTTAATTGTTGGGACGTTTTTGACTATTCCTGCTTTAATTATATAGTTAGTGGGTTAATGTTAATAAGTCTAATTACTTGGGGGTTAAAAGAGGTAACCTTAAGTTAATTAGTGGGTTATTATTGCCATATTTTATTCTTAATTATATGCTAATTAGGTTAAAAGAAAGAGGGTTTTGAATAAAGAAAATAGAAAGAACAAGAGAAAGAGAGAGAGAGTCGAACGAGAAAGAGGAGAAACGAAGAGAAACAAAGCTTGGGTAATTGCTTGCTTGATCACGAATCTTCGGTGGAGGTAGGTTATGACTTTTATGCTATTCGTAGTAAACTCTTAATAGCGAATGATATGTGTTGAGTTGTATTGTAAAGTCTTCTATATGCTTAATTGTATGCTTGCATGAATGTGATTATATAATTGTGATAAATTAAGCACGATGAAGCTATTGAATCCCAAATCTTGAAAAACTCTAATCTCTTGTTAATGATGATGCCTTGGTATAAGAGAAGGCTTGATGAACTAAGTGATGAGATTGATGATGCCTTGGTATAAAAGAAGGCTTAATGAATTAATAGAATGAGTTTAGTGGGACGGGTGTCACGAACCAACACGTAGATTTAGGGGATCGGGTGTCACGAACCAACACGTAGATTTAGGGGATTGGGTGTCACGAACCGACATGTAGATTTAGGGGATCGGGTGTCACGAACTGACACGTAGATTTAGGGGATCAGGTGTCACGAACCGACACGTAGATTTAGGGGATCGAGTGTCACGAACCGACATGTAGATTTAGGGGATCGGAGTGTCACGTACAGACACAAGAGGAATAAAGATAATGAATCTTGAAAGATGATAATATACTCAATCTAATGAATCTAATTCCCAAATGAGTATGGTATTGAGGCTTGAGTCCTCATGTATGAACTTGGCGGTATTTATTGATGATTATAGTACTTGTTGTTGCTACATGTTGAGTATTGTGGTCGATTTATGATATTACTTGATATATACTGTTTTCTATTTTGAGTTGGCCGATGATACCTACTCAGTACTTGTGTTTGTACTGACCCCCTGCTTTTATGTTTTCTACTTTGTTATTCGTGGAGTGCAGCAAACGTGCCGTTGTCTTCAACTCAACAGTAATTCTAGCCAGTCTTCGTCACACCGGATCTTCAGGGTGAGCTAATGCTTCTAGCTTGGACTGGTTCTTCTTCCTCATGTCTTGATGCCTTGAAGTTTCGGCATGGACTAGCTTTTACTTGTTTTAATTTTAGAATACTCTTAGTTTAGTCATTTGATTGTAGATGTTCTTGGGGTGATGACTTCCAGATTTTAGGAAAATAATAGATGTTGAATTTTAAAAGTTATTGAATTGGTTTTTATTAATGAGTTTAAGTCTTCCGTATTACTTTCTGTTGATATTATATTGAAATGTTAAGGTTTAGATTGGTTGGTTCGCTCACATAGGAGGGTAAGTGTGGGTGCCAGTCGCGGCTCGGTTTTGGGTCGTGACATCTGTCCAAAGTTGAATGCGTAGATTTTGAGCAAAGAAATGCAGAAGAGACCACCTACGGAGCTGATGACGGTCCGTCGTGCTTGTGACGGTCCGTCGTGCTTGTGACGGTCCGTAGGTGGCAGCGTAGAGAAGCTGCTGAAGGAAGATGGGGAGGTCTGACCAAGTGTGGGGTTACGTAGCTTGTGATGGTCCGTCGTGGCTATGACGGTCCGTCCTGCAGGTTCGTCATGAAGTTCAGAGAAGTGATCCCAGTACCCAGATTCCAAGAGTTGAAGTGTTTTGAAACGAAGACCCTCGACGGACCGTTGTGCCTATGACGGTCCGTCATACTTGCCGTTGAGGGGAATGAAGAGAGAAGCAGAAGAAATTGCTAAGTATGGGACGACAGAGTCCATGACGGTCCGTCGTGACCACGACGGTCCGTCGCGAGGTCCGTCTACCCAGCCCGTTTTGGTAGATTTCCAGCAATTAGAATCCTTGTTTAATTAGGTTTTTATTTTTTTATAAATAGTTCGAAAAATCTCGTTTTTGAGGTTAGATTCTACTAGATTAGACATCATATTATTAGACTCTGTGTATTAGTATTTGATTTGGGATATTCTTACAAGTGATTTTTGGTGATTAATCAAGCAAACTTTCGGATTTTATTCTTTCTCATTGAAGTAAGTACATGAATTCTTCTTTAATATATTTGAATATTGTGTTTATGGCTATGAGTAACTAAACTCCATAACTAGGGTTGTGGGAACCATAGGCAAATAATGATTATAAACCCTAATTAAAAGAACAATTCTAGAATAGTGTCTTGCATGTATTAATAATTCTTTCGTTTAGAATTCTTTTTAACGGATGGCCAACGTTAGAACTCGCCTTAATGCTACTTGCCGGACCAAGGAGGTAGATAATAGGAAAAGAATTATTAACATAGATTTAGTGTATACTATCTAATAGGCTAGTATTGATTGGTACGAGGTAATAACTTAGTCAAATATCGAATACGATGCTTAATATGAGGTAAGGATAAGGGTTAGGATAGCAACACACGTAGCCCGACCAAGGTGCGGAGTGAGATTTTCTAGATGGCGGACCAAGGATTTAGAAATACATAACTTATTACTTTGCATGCAAGATACTAGGAACGAATTGTTATAGTTAGAGTTATCAATTTATGAACCTGTGGGGAACACGTAAACCCTAGTTACTTTGATTAATTGATTAAAACCCAACATTAAAAGCTGTTAAGTATCTCTTTCAAGTTCGTTGTTTATTTTCACTTATTTAGAGATAGAACCCCCCTTTTTATATTTTTACTTTCCAAGGAAGTTATTGACCAAACGATAGTAATAATAGGTTGAGGTTAAGTCTAGACTATTTTCCTCGTGGGAACGATCCCAACCTCACTAGTTGGGTTATTTACTTGACACGACCGCTTTACTTCTCATTTGAGAAGTAAGTTTGAGCGTATCAAATTTTGGCGCCGCTGCCGGGGAATTTAGCTTCTAGATTAACTTGAACTTATTACTATAGTTTAGTTGATATTTTTCTTGATTTTACTTTGTTTTATTGTTTTTGATTTCCTTTCAGAACTATCCTCCTTGTATGCCAAATACACGGGAGAGGAAGAAAACCCTTGTTTCCCTACCATCACGAGCTAGAGCGTATTCTGCGCAATATGAATCGAAACTTGGGAATAAATGATGAGGATCCAAACCAG